ATTTAATGGAAGTTTACCTTATTATTTTTGTTTTACCTAACTGCCACCACTAGTGGTGACTTCGAGTGAAGGAAGTCAGTGACATGTATAGGATCCCCCCATTGTTCTTGACAATTTTATCAAGGGCTATTTTGAAGTACTCCAAAATATATAACTCAGTCGAGTATCCATATCTGGACTAGCAGATGCCCGCCACACTAAAAATGTCATATATCCTCAAGTTAAAGAAGTCACACGTACAGAAAATTGTCAGGGTGAACTTCTGGAAAAGAATTGTGAACCAATGGAATAACGTATCAATGATGAGACGGCACCAAGTGTGAGTTCATTTAAGGACATGATGACCTACTGCAGTGGAAATTTCCCCTATAACTGCCGTTTGTCGCTGACTAGCCGACCCCTTTTCGAATTCCCCAGCCAACGCCTCGTGGTCTAAGGTCGGCTACAAGCCACGTCTACCTCTGCTATATAAGACCTCCCCTCGCCGTGACCTGCCCCTTCTACCTACAGCCACGCAGCAAGCAACACCTCTGAGCACGCTCCCGAACCAGCTCTCTTTACTCCACCTTGTAACCACACTGCAACTTCCCAGCACCAAGCTGTGTCATGGTCACATTGACTGCTGGTCTGTTTTAAACCTGTTGATTCTTATTATACTTCACGTTCTCAAAACATCCCTAGGAAGAAACGCGTTTTACACCAAGGCTCCCTCTCCGTAAGTCCCGCCTTTTGTACTCAGTTGTCAATATGTATATTCCACTTTTACTGGCAAACTCAATCTCTAATTAGTTTATGTAAATCAACTTAAGTGATTCGCCAGACCTTTGTCAAATGAGGGTCATCTTTGAATGTGTAACTGTTGGTTTGTATGGAATTTTTGTCAATGCGCGAGTAGCCATCTCTGGCAACTCACGGGTATAAAAACCCATGCCGAGGAGGGAGAAGCCTACCCATAACGCTTCTCCAACTTTGTCTCAGGTATGTAAGAGAGTGTTTCCAGCCGATATAGCCATTCAGTTTGACTTAGTCAATTTTGTGAGTATCAGTGTTCATGTTGTAACAGTGAAATTGTCATTTACTCAGTGTAAGAATTACTAGTAACGTAAATGTCGTCTGACGTTGAGAGACAAAAGATTTGTTGTGATTGAGTCATTACCATGCTCCCCGTAACGCTCTCCACTTTTTGTCTCAGATCCAGTGTGTGGGTTATTTGAACACCCCACCAGCTGCCCGGAGTCGGTGGATACCTAGCAGTTAGCTGTAGTGGACGATGTCACTGATTCAGCAAGATTAAACTGCCCCAGTCAGCATCGTGGGGCTGTGACCCCAGACTGTCACCACGTGTCCAACTACACCCGACCATAACAGCGGTCGTCAGTTGTGAGACGCCAGTGTCCTACCCTGGGACACTCCTGGAGGTTATATAGTCCACAGTGTTTGTTGTATATGTTTGGGGATAATTAACTGAAAATAATTATCCCATGGTGGGTAGTGAACCCATGTAATTTGTTGGTATCAGTAATAACGTGTTGTGTGTTGTGAGGGCATCTCATATGTACTAACAACAGTCTAGTGAAGGTATCAGATGTAAGTTTGTCTGGTAATGTAATGTAATGCCATGTAACTCCAGTAATGTTGTAAGAAACAAGAATATCCAAGTGGAATGGCAGTTTAGAGAAGCCAAGGAGTTGATCCTCGGAGCTGTATGTAATGTAATGTAATACCAATAAGGTTGTGAGAAATAAGAGTACAGTATCTAAGTGAATTGCAGTGGAGTAAAGCAAAGGGGTCTGAACCTTGGAGTTGTATGTTAATGACATATTTTTCCCTACTTTGATTTCATATTAATAAACCATTTCTTAGAGTATATTAGGGGTATTCATTTCACCTCGGTATCCACCTTTATTTTTGTCCAAGTGACCTTGATACCAGAATTACAGTACCCATGTGCCTAGCCCTCGCCATGCTACCAAAAGAACTGAGGTTATGAAGTAACCATGAACTGAAATATGTAGACAGAACCAATGAAGGAAATAAGACAGAGAGAAGTATAAGATAAGGGTGGCCTCGGTGGTTCAGTAGTGAGAAGTAGTAGTTAGAGTCGCCGCCCTTACAATGGTGGCAGCGTGCCCCCACCCTTACAGCTGCACTGTACATCCAATACAATACATATACAGAGAGTGCACTGTGAGTTTCCTTTCTCCAACCCATCCTGAGTGCGAGACAACATCTTTGAAACCCCCACAAATGGTGACCCCCAGAGAATCGCACTCACACAGGATGGAGGAGAAACTGATCACTCTCCCAGTCTTCAATCACAACATTGAAGACTGGCTTATCCACACGGCGGCGGCTCTCATCGGCTCTACAGCTACAGTCCCTACACCGCGGGTTAGACACCCTAGAGCAGCTCTGCTCCTCCAAGCATGCAGCTGTTCCTCTTCCTGCCCCAAGCACCACGTCCTACCGACCCCAACACACCCGTCCTACCTCAGACGCTGCCCCCAGCCCCCAGCACAGTGTATCTACCCCCTGTTGGTACCATCAATGTTTTGGTGCTAACGTTAGACGCTGTGAGGCTCCCTGCAACCACACGGCGAAGCGACATCGACGGAGACGGGTAGGCGCCATAACCTCCACTACTATCAAGCAGCACATCACACGCCTTACTTCTGACCTTGGCCACCTCACTCCTGCTGCCTGTCACGACCTACTACAAACACTATGTCAGGCGGTTTCTGCATTCAAGGCTACTGCCCCACGCCAGCCTTCCCACCACCCTGAACACATTAATCCCGCACCTCCTCCGCCAGTCTACCCACCATTACCCTTTGCAGCACCACCTCGCCCACAACATTTCTGGGCACCCTCTTTTCTTCCTCAGGTACCCACTGTGCCAGTCTTGCACCCTGCTGCTGCCATGGACCCTCCTCCTGACGTGGCCCCTGCTCCTGACGCGGACCCACACACCCCACCAGGCACTACTGAGGACTGTGCACCTGCCGCAAGAAAAGCACCACATTCCTCGCCTTCACAACCCTCCTTCTCCCTCTTCTTCTCCCACATCTCGTGTCTCTAGACAAAGTTGTCTCCCGTAGCCGGCCGGCTCATCCACACCCTCGCCCGTTATGTCTCACATGTGGGATACAACCCTGCTGACAACAAGTCTCCTGCACCGCCCGGAGGGAAGGGGGAGTATTGTCGTGGAAATTTCCCCTACAACTACAACTGCCGTTTGTCGCTGACTAGCCGACCCCTTTTCGAATTCCCCAGCCAATGCCTCGTGGTCTAAGGTTGGCTACTAGCCACGCCTACCTCCGCTATATAAGACCTCCTCTCGTCGTGACCTGCCCCTTCTTCTACCTACAGCCACTCAGCAAGCAACACCTCCTCTGAGCACGCTCCCGAACCAGCTCTCTCTACTCCACACTTGTAACCATGCTGCAACTTCCCAGCACCAAGCTGCACTGTACATCCAATACAATATATATATACAGAGAGAGCATTGTGAGTTTCCTTTCTCCAACCCATCCTGAGTGCGAGACAACATCATGAAACCCCACACTACCACCCAAGTAGCTAACAGGTACGGTACGGTACGGATTAGTCATTTTCACTTGTGATTATTATTTAAACGTCACTATCATCACCCATATGGTCATAAAACGGAGGCAGATTATAGAAGACAAAAAACAAGTGTAAGTAATTCTTAAATAACAGAGAAAACAAACCTGTGGCGAACACTGGCGGTGTCCCAAGTAATGCAACTATTCTAGCCTGCTGGGCTCACCTTCATGGCGTTGAAACACGCTTCTAGATCAAGTTAAGTTTTCATCGCTTGATCCTCTGATATGTAATCGAATAGTTTTGTAATGGTAAAGAGAAATTGAAATACCCCAAGTTTTGAGACCCTGATAACATTTAGATTAAACTTTGGTCAAAATTAGGTTTTCCATCGACCAGTTATGTAAGTTGTATGAACATGACATTCATGGTGTATGAATATATATTTTCTGCTCTGTTGCATGGTGTTGCGTGTATATTTCTTCGCGTGTTTACGTGTCTGTTCGCGCTGTGCGTTTCAGTGTGTATTGTCAGTCTAAAAGCAAATAGTAATGCAGAAATATAGAAATGTAGAAAAAAATGGAATTAAAATTACATTATAATAGAAATCAGAGGAGAGAGACGCACTTAACACGAAAGTGACTAGTCCCAGAAGAATATACAATTTAGTGATTGATTCCTATGTAAGATGCAGTTTAGTGTCAGACTGACTATTGACACCAAACAAATGAATTAGCCCTCAATTTGTATTTCTGAAATTTTGGAGAATAAGATAAAAAAATAATTAATGATTCGGCCTTGAGAAGCAAGGCACGGAAATTTATGACTTTGCCTCTGAAGCTTAGAAAAAATGTCATTACCTGCAACTTACAAGAGCTTTGAATACTAGGAGACGCCAGCCGTCTACAATTATGAAAGACATTGAGTGTGTTGCATAAAGTAATTCAGTAAGACCACTGCATGTGTGGGAAAGTGGTCAGACATGCTAGTATTGTTATGGTGACGTCATAAAGAGACTCCAGGCGTGACCGTCAGGTGGCAGCTGTGAGAGCACAACAAACACTGGACCCTTTTGGGTGTTTCATCATTAAAGTGAGTTTTTAAACGTATTAATTTTTATCTCACTGTTTCCGTGTGTACACTTAAATGCAGATATGGTTTAGCTTATTATCCCCAGCGATTAACATTTCAATCAAAAGAAGAAACATGAGTCATCACCTCATAGCCGAGGTTGACGTGTCCAAAGTGAACGTCGCAGCTCAACTACCGTAAGTGACATTGAGCGGGAAGGTTCTCAATCTATTTTTAACTGTATTTTTGCCAACTAGTGGGGCAGGTAAGGCAGCGCCTCCACTGGTCTTGGCCACACCACTAGTGACACGTTTTCTTCCATCTGGTATGTGGGATGGGGCTCATGCATTTGCCAAGACTGTAGACCAATCCGTGACATTCTCCTCTGTCTCCTCCTCAGAGCTGCTAATACATATACCAGATTCTTCTCCGCTTCCCTTCATTGTCATCTCCCTACTGTTAATTGTTGTTTCAGTGGCTACTTGTGTCGAAAATTCTAATTCTTAGTATCTGATATTAATTGGCTGCATAGTTATGTGTGCCAATAATAAGTAATATCTGTACACAAAAAGTTATGTCACTCCAAGTGAAACTTTGAAATATACTGGTGAATAAGTTGGCCATAAGGTGGAAAAATGAGAGAAATGTGAGTGTAAAGTATATTTTTTATACTGGTGTGTTTGTTCATGTGTTGGTGGTCAGGAGTCAGCCTGTACGGTACTCTGTGCCAGCACACTAGTCTCTTTGCAGTAGTCAGTAGAAGCAGGATGCTTTAGTTCTCTAGTGCCTAGTAGCCAAAGTAGAGATTACTGTACAGGTACTTGCTTAACTCGTATGCTGTATCGATGTTCTGTAGAGCATACATTATTCTACTAAAAGATGGTGTTCGTGTATGGAGTTGGTGAAGTTAGAGAAAGGTAAGCCATGATCTCGTGTTTATATACTTGGTGGATGATGAAATTATTTCATGTCTAGAGACTCAGAAGAGCACATTTCACATGTACTGTACCAATCGTAAATCCATATTGTATATTATGACCTCAGTAATTGTCACTTACTTTTGGCAAAGGTAAAGGAGAAGATTGCTACTTTATTTCATAGATTTTTCAAGAGAACGTTTTTATTCCATACACTAGTGCAAATGGGGGAGGGAGGCAAAATTTAATGTGTACCCACACATTAGAATATTAGAATGTGTGTAGTTCTGTCAACTATTCCAAATTCTGCACTAAACTGTTTATGATGGCAGACATCACCAAGCAACTAGACTTAATGTAAGAAAATGTAATAACTGGTTGATAAGGTGAAGTTTTTATTTGATTTGATTATAGAAAGTGTGTGCAATATTTCTAGTTCCTGTTAACCTAACCCAAACCTCACCTGTCACTCTCTACACATGTCATGGAGTTGGGGATATAATTCTTAATCCCTTCATTATGTGGATGCCACTTTTGATATTTTATTTGGCTAATGCCAGACGATTTTGTTTAGCAAGTGGTTAACACTGATGGTTTTAGTTTCATTTAATGATAGGTTTTATTATATATATCTCTACTTTACTCAAATGACTAGAACATCCGATCTTATGAACTAAAATAGAAATCATTTTCCTGTATCAATGTAGTGGCACAAATTTTGTGACATTAAAGTTTTGTCATGTGTACTGACAGTGTATTATTGAACAACTGTTAGTGTTTCAGTCACTTGAAGGGAAGCCCCAGATTATGTCAACTTAAGATAAACGACTCTAATGCTAATTTAACCTAACATACTCCAATCTAATGTAAGAACCTAGCATAACCCCCCTAGGTAGTGTTGGGGTGTATACTTGTCAGGTTAAACAATAATGTATTACTGTACATGATATAACCAAAACAAGTGTAACCTCTTGAAAATATTTTGCAGTTCTCCAACTAAAGCCCTGCTGTCGCTGTAAATAAACCTCCATATGACATGACCCATCCTTATCTAATTTAAAACCTAACATAAAAAATAGCACTGAAAGATTGTAGATCGGGTATGTTATGTTGTTTCTAGTTGCATGTACATAGTGCACTGTAGTTATACTGTAACTCATTTATGCTGTAGCCTTCCCCTTGTTGGTATGATGTCTGTATTTCATATGGAGAATTTTACAGTACAGTACTGTCCCTTATTTTCACAAGTTTACACTTATTTTGCAAATATAGTACACGGTTCTGTAGTTTACTGTATGTACATTGTTTCAAGAACCATTACACCCTTAAATGTGACTAAACTTTTATCAAAATTTCTGGTGGGAAAATCTGCAAATGTAAAAAGTGAAATATCCCCGCCAAATATTGAATACTGTACTGTATACTATACAGTACAGTACTGTATGTATGTTTTAAATACAAAGAATCAGTGGTTAGGTAACAAAAAGGGACTGAGATAGTCCAGTTCACAATGAATCAAAGTTAACTACTTAAGAGGAATAGAGGTCAGGCTCAGTGCCGGATTTAGACCTGTGGAGGCCCATGGGCAGCCTCTTTGTGGAGGCCCCCCTCATTATAACTACCCAAGAGGGTGGGGTGGTGAGTGAAGCGAGCCTAAACATCTGAGAGTTCCGGGAGGCGCTGGGAAAATTTTGAAATTTGAACACTTCTTTGGAGAATTTTGAAGCCATATGCAGTTATATTAAAAATATTAAAAATATACTGTTCATAGGAAAACCAGGTATTCATGAATTTCAAGGAGTAGCTAGCCTAATTTCTATTACGCTTCTTGCTGAACATAGTTTTACGTGATGGAATAGATAAACATGAATTTTAAAGAATGAAAATAAAAATAATCCAAATGAATAAACAAATAAATAAAATATTGTAATATGTGGAGGCCCCCAGATTGTGAAGGCCCCTGGGCAGCTGCCCACTTTGCCCACTCCTGAATACGGCCCTTGTCAGGCTCCCTAATTTTCGTTGATTCTCCGAAAAGGGAAATTTTTAACAATACTATACTGTAGTTATGGGGTATAGTTTTACTTACAAAGTAAACTCACAAATGCATGACATATATACTCATGATTCACATTAAGTGTGATAAACAGATACTGTATAGGACGTTGCCAGCAACAGTCTTATTCAGGTGATACAACAATTCTATCTTTGTTTAGAAGCTAAGTTAGGCATTCCTCATGTGTCACTTCTTGCTTGAGATTGCCAAAGCATCAGCTTTATGTTTCTAACTAGGAGACGACATCTTGAAAAACGAGGATGATGATTTGTAATAAAATACATTGAACTGGGAGACCTTATCATTGCAAACACAAGTTGACAACTTCCTTTTGTTTTAAAATGTAAACAAATAACAGTTGCCAGACTCTGATTGATTGTGACACTCAGGTGTTTAGAGGATATGCTGCAGCTGCTGATTGGTAGAGTTCCCCTCATGTACTCCTGACAGAGGTCACAGACTTATGAGAACAGTACAGTAAAACCCCTATAATTCGAAATACAATAATAGGGGCTGTAGCCCTTACGGATTATAAAATTTTACGAATTATGGGGGACATCTTCTCCCGAGGGAAAAACAAGCAAAACAATGGTACTTTTCCATTATCTTCCCCAATCAAAATTTAAATGTTTCTTTATTACAGCTCCACATTTAGTGTTATCAGATATAATGGCTCAAACACTGGGTAATGATAGAAAAGCAAGTGAAAAAAGCTTGTGTGGCAGACTGTAGACTTGTACTCCACGACTAACACACACATGAACTGACTGACACGCGTATACAGTAATGTACTTGTTTACACTGAGACAGGCAGCTGCATCCCTTGGCAACAAGTACTTCATACAGTTTGTAAATACTGTGTTTTTCATAGTTTTAAATATTACCAAATACAGTATTACGAAAAATGTAATATAGATATCGTAATACGTAGTACAGTACTGTACAGCTCCTCCCCGACATACAACGGGGTTAGGGACCCAAATCCAGGTCGTAAGTAAAAAATGCTTATATGATACGTAGAAAATCTAAAATGGGTGTCTCCTTTTCTTCTCAGCACCACAAAACTCACTTTTAAGCTTGCCAGTCATTTTAAAATGACTTACAAACGAAAATTTTGTCAGTACAGGTACACTGACATTGGGACTCAAAAATACGTAATTTGACAAAATATTGGTACGACTGAGGCAGGTCGTAAATGCGGGTGGTCATAAGTCGAGTAGGTCGTAAGTCGGGGAGGAGCTGTATTTTCAAGTGTCTCGTACTTATTTTGAAATTTTACCAATTGTTGCAAAATTTGTAACATATTCTGTACAAGTACAGTACAGTATTTTGTAACAGCAAAACATTATGAATTATGAGTGAGTTTGAATTAGGGAGTATGAATTTTGGGGGTTTTACTGTACTTTAGTTTGAAATTGCTTTTAATGAAAATTATGGTCTAAATGTTCAGGGATGATTCAAATTGTCACTGTAAGAATCAAGGACATTTGGGGACCACTGCACATGTATATTATTAGCTGTTGATTTTCCTTTTTATTAAACTTTGCAAGATCTAATTCACAAGGCTTCATATCTATTTTTATTTTGTAATCTATCTTTTGTGAGAATTAAACTGTGAAATAGGGTAATAGAAATTTATTGAATTGCAGTACTGTACATATACAACAAAGTACTGGCACAGTATAAATCTATATTCTCCTGTATATTTCTTCTTCATGATTACGATTAGAAAAGTGTATTAAGTCGACAGTATTTTATACAGTGTAGGCCTATCTGTAGCAAAGGAACTAAGGTGCTGTACAATCATAGACAAAAGTCGTGTCGCGGTTTTGTCCAAAAATTAAATATAACTCGTGAAACATTATGACAGCCCCCTACCACAAGGCAGAGCACACCAAAAGTTTAGCCCTTCGGCATATGTTTTCACCAAATTTCATGACACTACTTTTGTCTTTCATTGTACATCTTCATCATGAAAACACAGAGCACATGGCAACAGGATCACATAATCTTGTTAATCGGCACTATATCTTACTTGGGAATTTGTTGTTATACCACCTGTCACTATGTATACCATTGGCGACCTGTGGTGTAATGGTCAGCATGCTCACATCGCAAGCAAGTGGACCCGGGTTCGATCCTAGGGCAGTGTGAAACTATGGGCAAGTTTCTTTACGTCATTTGCCTCTGTCTACCCTTGACACTGGGTCATGCAACTCGTTAACTTAGGGTGTGGTTGTTGTGTTGGCGACAGCTTCTACACCTTAAACAAATTCATGCCTAGGTGGCCCTAAGGCCGGCCATCCTCGATTTCTAGGGGCATCCATTATTATTATTTATATGTATACCAGTGTTTGTAATGTTATAGTCATTACAAGTGATCGCGAGTACCTTCGTGCCCAGTGAAAGTTTGAACGCTCGTGCTTGGCTAGCGTACAGCGAATGAGGGTGCGCCAAGTCCGTAGACTTTCATGGTTAATTAGGGTGCGCCAAGTCCGTAGACTTGCATCGTTTTCCATCGTAAATATAATGGTTAATTAATGCCTTCCTAAAGAAACCATCGACATGGGACCAGGTTTGTTCCACTCTACGAATTTTTTGCGATTTTTCCACCAAGTTTGATGAAAAACGATTGTGTCGTTTCGGCTGCTCAGAACAGACAGACAGACAGCTAGTCCTATAGTATATTAGATATCATAAAAAAGGATCAGTGTTTACATAACCTCCCTTTGTTTTTGATACTATGCATGTTCATTGTTATTGCATGATTTAAATTTTTTTTACTAATTAATTCACACAAATTAGTGTACAGTAATTAAGAATTTAACAACATTACTTGATTTTAGGATACCTGTACCAAAATAAAAATAAAATAGTACTCTGTACCAAGTAATTGCATAATGGCTTATATTTAGTACAGGTAGTCAGATCTCACAAACTGTGCAACATTTCTGTGAAGCAGCAGTACTGTACAATAACAGTACTGTATACTGTATGTGAATTTCTATTCTCCTAAATTGTAAAACTTATTACCCAATTTGAGGTGATGCAAATACGAGTAATAAGCAATTCCATAATATCTGTGTACGGTACTGTATGTGCAAAGTAAGCTTTTTGAAGAGCTTAGCTCACACACTTTGTAGATGACTTGGCAGAGGTGAAGTACACAGCTTGCCACATCTGTGTTGAACTTGTTGCAACTTGCAGATACAGTGCATGAACATATTCCCTTGTCTTTTTAAAAAAAAAATATTTAAATTATTAGGCTATTATATACAGTACGTATTATATAATTTCTTGTTTTAATAGTGTATGTATAATGAGATGAGATATGTTCCATTATTTATATATTCGGCACCACACACTTGGCACAAGTCTCAGGTGATGCTGACTATTTCTCCTCTTGTGTTTATTTGTCTTTTGACTATACTGTACCGTACTGTGCAGTATTGTAATGGACACTTGTGTCTCACTCCTAAAAGTCTGCTGTTTCAGTGTTCTCTTTTTGGATCATATAAAGATTAACACTGTCAGCCTACTTCACTTGATGATTAAACACCTTAATGTCACAACCAAACCTAGCCCCACCCTACCTAACCTAACCTAACCCACCCCAACCTAACCCAACATAAACTAACCCAACTTAACCTAACCCCCTTGGGGTGAAACTTTATACACATATGTATCAACAGTAAATGTGTTGTGAGTTACATAAGCTAAGTCTATTCTCTGTAGGTCATTGTCACTCCAGGCAAGGGTCTCTGAGTCCAAGGTGCTTATTAGTAGTGTTGTGATTCTGATGTCTCTCTGTGGTTATCTTCTGTGTGGTGCTTGTAGTTGATTACTTTATTTTATTGGTCTGTACATTACAGTGTTGGTTGCTATTACAGTACAGTACCTGTAAGTCAGTTGTATGATTATTTATTGATTAATTTATTAAGTATTTTCATTGACAGGTGGTGCAAATGATCGTATTTAACATTGATTTATTTTCGAATGTGCATTAATATCATTCTCTTTATTTCAATCATGTTGCAGAGCGAGAGGCTCTAACTATAGTTCCGGGATGTCTGATCCCAAACGTGATAGGGACAGCGACCGGGACTCACTGACTGGGTGGACACTGATAGACAGAGAAGGAACACCAGAAGACTCTACTGGTGATGGCCCACAGCAAGATGGTAAGTATTGTCATGGTACAGTAATTTGTCATTATGAGAACATGTTGCACTGTTTTCTTTTTCTTTTCTGACTTTCTATCACATCATTGTGAAATCATTTACAGTATTTCATATTTAAGTCTTTATTCAGAAAAATCAGTACAAGTACAGTACCTGTGCTTTGATTTTACTTATCTGTTTGTAAACTGTAAGTTGGTACTTAAGCCTGTATATAAATCCATGTAGGTCTAGAAATACAGATATTGCAATGAATAATTTAGGTAAATAATTTAGTTATTGGTTTAAATCCTAAGAATCATGTTAAGAACTGCCAGTCTTTTCAGTTGATGCTCATTACTTGATAATTCCTTTATGGCAGAAAGAGAGTCCTTTTGTGAACCATTGCAGTGTACTTCTGGAAAAGGTGTAGACATTAGAGGTCACAAGAAGACTAGGCACCCCAACTTATTTCACCTCATTAATAAACACTCCAATGCTACCTAGGGGGTGTGGGGTTAGGTTACCATCAGGGTGTCTAATTTGCAACAGATTTTTATGAGTACAATACAAGGATGAATGCCTGGAATAAGTGACTGGTTGTATAATCTCCTATCTCTTCAGTGTGCTTGTTGCAGATTTTATCATGTAAGAACAAGTTCAAGAATTGAAAACTAGACAGTACAGTAATTACTGACTGGTTCCAATCCTGTTGCAGAAGATGAAGATGGGTCAGATTCCAATGTCGCTCCGGAAGGTGCAGGAGCTGTTGTGGTAGATGAAGAGGAAGAGGATGTAGATGAGGAAGAATCTGGATGTGGCATGGAGGAAGAAGAGGATGGTGGAGACGAGGAAGCACTGTCAGATGACCTCGTGTCAATGGGTCAGAGGGTGCAAGATATCAAGGGTGAGTCCGTCAAGGGTGAGTGGCTCTGGCATTTGTAACCCTAAAGCATCCTGGCTGTACCTGTTCCTGTATCCCATCTGTTGACCTTGGCTGTCCGATAGATTACTGAGGTACTATTTTCATATCTATTTGGACTCCTATTGGTACCTCATTAAAAATGTCATTATAGCTAACAAGAACCACGATGAGAATAATAAGAATACTTTGTTAAGATATAAAAAAAACATGTACTATTCTGATGGGGAAAAACTCCCCACTTAAGTTTTTTCGCTTGAAGTCACGCTACTTTGGTCCTTAACCCCAACATATTTCGGGGATCCCCTGTATTAGAACTCAAGTTTTTACACACAGATCTCAATTTAAAGTACAGCACGGTACTGTATGTTCTAGTCATGAAGTTGGCAATCTTATCATTCAGGGTGTTGTTATGCACAGGTTTAATTTTCTTATTCATCTAGTCACACCACTTGATGTGTACTGTATTAATTTTTCTAGATCTTAATTATTATTTATCCAAGGTTGACAAACATGAGATATATCTGTGCGAGAAACTTCTTCCTCCCTTCAAGTTTCTGTTCAATATTTTCAGTGTACAATTTTTTTTCCTAATTTGCAAGTGCCATTACCTAAAACCACCCTGACTTCTTTTTTTTAGCCTGAGATTTTTTATTTTTGGTAATTATAAGACCTGATTTTTTACATCATATAATTTTTACCAGTTTTTGTTTTATGTCTGGCTTTTAGATATACCATAGACAATATTTTTGTCAGTAATACAGTAAAGTCAACCCTCGTTAAAACGGACTAATTGGGGGGGAAGGGTGTCTGTTTTAGCCAATTGTCCGAATTAACCGATTAAGGGGGTTAATATTGCATAATATTGCATTATACAGCTATGTGTATGTTTATTTGAGTGCCCCGTCATAGGAGTCCGTTTTCTCTCACTTCAGGACGCCTGAGTCGTCCGTTTTCTCTTAATCTTAGAGTGCACCAGAGACTGTTATATCTTAGTAGTGACACAGAATTTGATATTGCAACTGGGGTTGCAATTGTTGAGGCAACTTAGGTATGTCTGATCAGTTGGATATTCAAGATCCATTGTGAGTGATGTTTAAAGCTTCAACTGTCTTTATGGTTGGTAAAACTTGTCAAGTCTGTCAGTCTGAATGGCATGTGTGAGGCCTTGTGTTTGTACAACCGCTAAATATATAAATAAATGTTATGGTAATTATCAGAAACACATAGGCATGACGAGGTTTATTACAAAGTGATGAAAAGGAGACTGTACAGAGTAGTCCACAAAACATGTAGCCATGTCTCTTTATTTGAGTGCCCCATCATAGAAGTCCGTTTTCTCTCACTTCAGGACGCCTGAGTCGTCCGTTTTCTCTTCATCTTAGAGTGCACTAGAGACTTTGTTATTTCTTAGTAGTGACACAGAATTTGAAATTGCAACCCCAATTGCAACTGGGACAATCCCAGAACCAGAAATTTGATATGGACAGTTCAGATTTCGTCCGATTTATCCGAAATTCGGATTAAAGGGGTCCGAATTAACGAGGGTCGACTGTACTGTATCCTATTCATTGTGGAATGTTGCTTTCCCTTAATTTGTATCATTGTACAGTATTTTTATTTTATTTTTTAAGTTTTCTAATCCTTATGTACCATAAATGCCAATTAACTCAAGAGTCATTATAGACAATGCAAATGAAACCAACAGTGATTAAGATAATTTGGGGACCACATTGCGCTACCATTTAACTTTTTTTTCATACATTATTAACTTCTGGTTTTCATACATTATTAACTTTTGGTTTTCATACTGTATCTCTTTGCTAGTGATATTTGATCTTTGTATTTGATTATCTTAACATAAACATTTTCAGTCAATTGTTTGTCACTTATTTGAATACGTAACTAAACTTAAATAAAAAAGTGTTTTGGTTATTTCAGCATCTCTAATCATTCGGTATCAGAGGATATCTCAGAAAATCCCTGCCTTTCTAGTATCAGTCTCCAACCCTCACTTCTCTAAAGGTTTGACAAGAATGAACTGGAATATAGATAGATGGTTGACTTGCTGCAGTTGTCGTAGCGAAGTAAAAGTCCACATCCATGTATCTCATTGTTTTGTATTGTGACTTAAACTGTGTCAGTCAGTTGTAGAAGTAAACTGCAGAACCATCTGATGTGTGTACAGTACGTATTATGATTATGGTGACTGACTTAGATTCTAGCCACACCACTCTGAGCTGAACTAGCTATGTCCAGAATACATCCGTTTAGAATCATGTTTGTCCATTGTGATTTAGCAGGTAGTAATGTTGGCTTTTGTGTTTCAAATGTATATTGTTTTGAATTGAATATTTATATTTTTTATACTGTACGGGATATATCAACCTTAGTGAGATGAAATAGGTACACAAATGTCTCTTAAAAAAATTAGATAAATGTAGTTTAATATCATGTCATATTAAATTGTTTCATAACAATTCCATGAGATGCCGGTACTCCTAAATCTTTCCAACTCACCCCATCTTTTGTTTTAATCCGTTACACCTTCCAGTCTTCTTTTACAGCATCAGAGTTATGCCAACTTAAAAAAATCTTTATTTATTCCACGGTCTTTCACTTTATTGATATGTTGGGATCCAAGTTCCTACGTTACCTGGATAATTAGGGTCATTTGTAGAATTCTGGGAATTTCATCCTTCATAAAAAAAAAGGTAGCTGCTGCTGTACATCAGAATATTATTGTAACAGAGATCACTGCCATATGGCTTTGAAGCATTTGTCAGGGATTTGCCAGATATTAATGAGACCTATGGGACTTTACATTTCCAGTATTGTAATTAAAATTTATGCCTGGAAGTGTTTAAGGCACCAAGAATTTGCATCCCTTTTATTATAACTTGCTTAAATATATGAAAGATTACCTAGTAATACTAACACTGTTCCATATCTTCTTACCATATCACTTTTCTTTCATTAAGGTTTTATAGGGCTTCAGTTCATGTATATTAGGTTAATATTAGGATGGTTCACTTAGGTTTGCTTCAGGTTATGACAAGTTAGCATTTAAATAGTGACTGAATGAGAAGGGAGACTATGTTGATTTTGTTTCGGCCACCCTATACCTTTACCACGAGTCTGCAGGAGCGATGAAAGACAATTGTAGTGGCACATCCATTATACTTACTGAGAACAAGGTCTCAACATTCATGCTTCATTCATAACCTTTAGTTATCATGATTTGGCTGAAAGGTAAATCTCAAAACAGGTCACTTGGGTAATTAATTATTTTTCATTGTACTGTTACTGTTCAGTGAGAATTTAAAGTGAATGGTTTGGGATGACACTTCCAAATCTTTTACTAAACATGCCCTAGAAATGCACTTATATTTACTCTTAAACTAATTCTCTTTAAAATGGTTTCAAATATGGAACTTTGTAATAGCATGTGATTTGTAGAGAATCTTACTGACATCTGATGTTATAAATAAATTGAATTACCGGTACCTCTGTGTACTCCTAAACTAATAACTCACCCTGTGTGTATAATATTTTTGTTTAATATTAGTTTGATACTTTATTCATACTTTACTAAAATGGAGAAACCTTTTGACTAGTTGTGTGTGTCTGTTCCTCATCCTATACCCTGTCTTCTCCTAATCCTTAATAGCATCCTCGGGCTCGGACTCCAGCGACATTGAGACACTCGAGTGCCCAGATTCTGATGACTTTTATGAAGACCACGCCCTGGCCTACGATTCCATGCACTCTTCCCTGTTCTCCTCCTCCTTATGCAGTTTTACATTTGTGGGTGGTTCAGGTGAGGTGTCTTTTGAGAGTTGCACGGTAAAGAATGTCTCTACACCACAGCTGTTTGGGCCGTGTCATTTTGTAGAGTATTCTGTGTTTTTTTATTATTATTACGGATTATTATTTACAATATCTATTTGTCTCTTACTCTTTTTTACTTATATTTTCATTATCTTTTGTCTATGTTATTTCTATTTTCAATATCTTTATTTTCTTTCCTATCATGAAATATTCTGAATAATTTCATTTGCTATGAAAGAAACACAACAGAAGAAGAATTCTTGTACAATTTATGAGAATTAGAACCAAATTCTTTCTTCTCTCAAACAGTTATGAGATGACTTTTCCTAACCACATTTTAATCACCATTAACAAGAGCAGTCCAGTATGTTTGGCAGATAAATACTACAGATATTCACTGCACCATCCTTTAATGTACAGTATCTTTTCTAATCTTTATTCTGTTCCCATTTTTGTGTGGGGTGAATCAAGAGAGAAGCCTCAACAAGAGGGGGTACGGTATATGGTAGGGGAAAGTGGTGCAGGAGAAAGTGTTTCAAGTGAATAAAAATGACTGAAAGGATAAAAAGAGATATTGTATCCACATTCTGAATTAGTATGTTTCTCCACTTGCAACAGTTAATCCAAACACTACCTACTGTACAAGAAGAAAAGAATTCTTATGTTCTGAATTATTATTAACCAAAGAATAGACCAAATTGCCCAATTGGATAATAAGCTGATAGGTAGTGAAATGATTCATAAATGCAAAGAATATGTACAGTACTGTACTGTATATGGTGACCTGGATAAAGTATTGCTCATATACCAGTAAATCAGTATGAAATGATCACTTATTATAATAGAAATTTGGTTTGACTTGGAATGAGTACAGTACAGCTGTTATGTAATTAATGACTTGGAACAGGAACTTGGATATCTAATAAGCTAATTACTATATTGGTTGTGTTGTGGCTTTATTTTTTTTAATATTGGATATAACATGTGATGGTCAGGATATACTGTACAGGTATATTGTAAAAGTGTGCGTGGAGTGTTGGTGCAGTACAGTGTTTATGATTTTAATTGCTCAGTCAGTTGCAATAAATGAAAAATAATCAAGTTGGTCTTGATCTTTGAGTTTATTTATCGGTTTCTCTATTTTATGTTGCCAGAATTGGATATACTGTACAATACAGTAAAAAGCTTATTGCTGTCAAACACTCCGGTACAGTACAGTACTGTACTGTACTTCATAGTATTCTGCTTTATTCCATGCCTTACCCTCCAGCCATCCATTGCATGATCTTTTTGTACCTTTCTATGCATGCGTTGCCTCTCTTAGATGCCTCTCAAGATACACAAAGCCATAATGGCTCAATGGGTTGCAGCAGCTCCATGTGGAAGGGGTTTCCTTAGATGTGCAGGTACAGGATAAATATGTTTCTGATTAGTGCACTTACATTTCTATCAGCTTGGTTCTTGTGTTGTGCTGCAGGGAAAAACATATTTGTTTAGTGTATGCATTACTATTTTTTAACGCTTTTTGTTGTCCTTAATCACAGCCTCAGTGTTTGATTATTACTTAGTGATATACAATGTTATTCTTGGTTCTTTTAGCATTTTTACGTGTAAATAAAAATTGCTCAGTCATGATACATTTATTTATCTGTATTTTGTGTTGTCATAGCTATGTACTGAACCGTCTTTTGAATGTTATTTCTATTGGGAACTGATATTTTTGTGATTGACATTATGAATTTTGATATATTTTTCGTGTATAGATCACAATTCACATTTAAGTATCATATTTGAGTTACGTATCTGTTGTCATGAAGTGAAAGGAGAGTCTGTTTATGGGCGTGACTCTGGTCACCCTGCAACATAGTGTGAAAAGTCTTGTTAGATTAAAAGAAAAAAGAATTTATTGTTGATGGACTCCTTGATATTAATAATAATAATACTCCATCTCATTCAGAAAATTCTTTGTTTGGTTTTCAGATTATGATGGTTTATTGGTCTCACATATTGAGTCATGTTCTAAATTATATATAAGATGTATTTCAATTAGTTTTCTTTATCATTAAAAAAATACTATCATTTGCACAAGTTTTAAGAATTTTTGTTATATGCCATGTTCACAGATGAGGGAGATGTGGAGAGTCTTGCAAGCACTGACATATCTGTCTTGGATGCAGAGAAGGAGAAACTAGTAGAAGAAGAGACTGACCTCTCCCTAGCTTCCTCACCGTCTCTCCCAGATGATCTTCCAGCAATAAAGTAAGCCAGAAAAACGAGTTAATCCTGTCGGAATCCACCATTCATGACACCCATCCCAGTTTTATGTGGGATGTGGATTTCATGGTAGTAAAATAAAAGCTAAATATAGTAGTGAAATAAGGGTCACTGGATTCCCTGCCTCCTGTATATTCTACCCATCCGGCTATGATGCAGGGTAGCTGAGCAGGTGAGGAGTCTAATTTCTAGCACTCGGCAGGTGTATCACTATCCATCCCCCTTGATAGGATGCAAGTCCACCAAGGGGTTGCACTCACCATCAGGAAATGCATATGATACTATAATGTGGTCCCAGTTCTCAACCTTTGACCATTCTCCCGGTTGAAACCCTCAACCCCTGAGCTACATGTCACTATTTTTAATCACAGTATTTGTTGGTTGATAACCCTAGTCATTAATGAAGAATGTACACCCTGGGAAAATTATAATATAACATATAAGTTTTCAGATATACAATAAATATTCTTCTGCAATATTGGAAGTAGTGTACTGTTCCTAAATAATTACTAGACATTGAACAAAAGTTCACAAATATGTACAAAGGAAGCTTCGTGTTTTTCATTGAGAAGGTTCACTGTTGTAGGAATGGAAGTATTTTGGTAATAATTTTCTGTAAATGTGGGTGCATTAATACTATTATGACAACTATATATGATTTGTGGTCTTAGTTTTAAATATTGTAATACTTTAGTCATCCTATATTCCTTGTACTGTATTAATGTAAATTTATTGTTGGCAGGCCTGACACTCAATACCGCCACACCCCAGACAAGGACCTCAACAGCCGTCTCAATGTTGTTGTGGCTCTAACTCTTGCGTGTGTACTTGGACTTGGCATAGGACATTTTCTTGGTAAGTTTATTATTGATCACTTCAAGATTGGTATCAGCAAATTGGAAAGGAAGAGTATATGTGCTTTTGTTGTACTGATATCTTATAAACTAATGTATCTCGGAAAAATTCCAGATTGTTCCTAGTGAAATTACCGTCTATCTGTCTATCTGTCTCCATCCAATACATTGTTTCCCCACTTTCCAGTACAATGGTAAGTGCAGAAAGCATTCTAGGTATTTGTATCCTCACTCACTTCTGCTTACTCATCATACCAACCTCCCCATTTGTCAACATTTTTTCTTAATCAATCTTTTTCCAAGTTCTCCTCCTCTTCACTTTCTTTTCATAATTTTTTTCTTCATCCATTATCTCTATATTCCTCATCATCTAACCGCCTGTTTCTCTTTTACATTTGTCAACACTCTCACCATAGTTCCCCATTCTGTTCCTTATGAGGAGTGTGAGGGTTTATATTTCATACCCCACCATAGGCCAGGGGAATGGTGTTCATCACATGTCTCTATTTTGTCTCTCTGGTTACGAGAATCCTTAACCCTTGCTGTCAACTTATCTTCATCTGGATACAGTACACTTGTTTATATTAACGGTAATACAGTACTGCTCCTTTAAGTACTGTACAATATTTCGACTGCCCAGTATGGACCAATAGGCCCTCTGCAGTTTCCTCCATTCTTATGTTCCAGTGTTGTGATGAGTCCTAGTTGTGTATCACCTGAAGATTCCCCCCAGCTTATTTCACTTGAAGATCAACCACACTAATGTTACCTTGGGGATTAGGTTAAGTTAGAATAGTGTAGGTAAGGTTAGCATTAGGGTGGTTAATTTTATGGTGATGTAAGGTGAGGGTGAATCTTTGGTTGCTTTTATGAAGGTATTCTTTATGGAGTAGGGTTTTGTCACTCTAGAGCATTTGTCATCATCCCTTCCCCTTATCTCTATTTTTATCTGTATGAAGGCGTGGATGTAGGCAGGTTGTCTTCACTTCAGTTATGCAAGAGTTTAAGGGTAATTACTGTTAGCTTTTACATTTGGTGCTTCATATTAGACCAGGTTTCTCTTTCCTGTCTTCTGTGTGCTAATTTATATATATATTGTATGTCTTGTTTACTGCCTGTAGCATATAATTTTATTTAAATACTATAGTTTGTTGGTGCATTTATTGTATTATTTCATTATATGTATTTTGTATTTTCATGAGTGAAATGTTTGCTTCACAGTACATCTGTCCTTAAATTATTCCGTTTCAAGTAAATATCGATTATTCATGCTTATATAAACCTGTTATATTTCTATGATTTGTCGTGTTTCTCCTGAATTGTATTGTATGTGTTACTCTTTGTCTGCAGTGTACAGAAACTTATTAAAAAAACTTGAATCTTTAATTGATTTACAGGACTAATGGCTCTATCAGTGGATGAAGAATCAGAAGGTTTGCAACATTTTGGCTTGAAAGTGTACCTGTTGTCATGTTTACTAACAAATTTTACAGGGAAATTAATATTGTGTATATTTACTTTTCCTGGAATGGATTTTATGTACAGTACCACTGTGTCCTTTGACCTTTTTCAAAGGTAATAAAACTTGTACTGTATGTTGTCTGTTGTTTCTTGGGCTCTCTCAAGTAAAGTGATTAAAGAAAAAGGGATCAGGTGTTTTAAGCTTCTGAATTTTAATTGTTCTGTGTAAATACAGTACTCTGAATTTTAAAAACAGTTCTAAACATGAGGGAATCGAAAAAACCCACTTGGTTGCTGAAAGAAAACGTTGAGGGCATTATGAATAATATTATAGTGTTACGCTTATAAATTTAGGTACCCTAATTGTAAAATATTGAATCAAATCTACAGTTCTTCCAATGGCAAGCAATGCCAAGTATAGAACAGTCAGTCTTAAAAAAATTAACTTTATAAAGATGAGTTAAATGGTTGATAAGTAATGGAATGTTTTTAACTGTATGATTTCTTTATTCTTTGGTAGTTTATCATACACTCAAGTTTCACAATACCCATTACATATTGCTGTGTTCTCATATGGTCTCTCTGTTATTTGTATCATTTAAACTTCTTGGTATCTTTTTTCTCACTCGTTAACTTTTATTTTACCATTTGTGTATATCCTTCTGTGTATCTATATTCCACCACTGACCAGCAGGGTGAGGTGTAGATCAGTGCTACTCAAAGTGTGGTCCGCGGACCGGTACCGGTCCGTGAGCCATTGTCTGCCGGTACGCGGAGAGTTTTCAGAAAAGAAAGAAACGATAGTCACGTTCCACACCACGTGACACTGCCGGGACATCTGACTCGGTCTTTTTTTTTTTTACATTTTCATTGTAGTTTTTATATTTATTATGGCTATATTTTTCATTTACTCGCTCATGTTAAAAGTCATTGCATCTTTTTGGATAAGAGTGAAAGCAGAATATCCTGAGCTTAGTGAAATTGCTCTGAAAACTCTTCTCCCCTTTCCTTCAACCTACCTCTGCGAGACTGGCTTCTCAACAATGAGTGTCATTAAGACAAAATACAGGAATTGTATGGATGTTCATTCTCCATTGCGCGTGGCACTGTCCTCAATTGAACCACGATTGGATAAGCTGACAAGGAAGAAGCAGGCTCACTCTTCACATTAGTAAAGGTTAAGGTTTTGACATGACATGACTTGTTACGTCAATGATGATTGGCCTTAGAATGAATAAGACATCATGTCTTCATGTTTAGTACAGATAGTCTCAAAATGCCCCTGAAATAGGACATATCTCAAAAGATTTTCCTGGGGGGGGGGGGCTATAGGCCCCGGGATTGGCTCGCTTCGCTCGCCGGTCCGTGGCACATTGAAAAAACCATGCCGGTCCGCCACATCAGATAGTTTGAGAAGCGCTGGTGTAGATCATCTTACTGGTCTCTTTACATTGCTTTGCTGTTCACACTGTTTAATACTGACATATGTTAGACCTCTTTTGAGCCTTACTGTCTCTTTGCTGCATTTTGCTCTCAATTTTACTAATGCAGTCTCTAGGTATTTCTATCTCTTCACAACATTTCTTCACACACACCTATAAATAAACATCTGTAAGGTATTCTTCCTGTTTTTTCTCTTCTCAATATTTGACACTCCCTCATACTTAGCCCCTTTGAGTATTTTTATTTTGCATGATAAACTTGCAAACTAAGACCCATACATATTTTCTTTACCTCGCCTCTCCATCTCATTCTCATCATTACTTCATATCACTCCTTCTACCTCCCTCACATCACTTTACATATAATTTTCTTTTCATTCATCATCAGGACCTGATTCAGAGTCATTCTGGATTTTAGAAGGCTTGTCAATAGATCATGTTAACAACTACTGGTCATAGCCAGACTGCATTTGTAGTGTGGGCACTTTGATATAAGCTTACAATCCCACTTCATTTTGGGTCAGGACCTTTTACTTGAACAGGAAGCTTGCCACCAAAATATGTAAATACAGTACCTAAAGGTCACAGCCAAACCAAAATTTATGTGGAGGTGTAAAGATATTCACAATTCTTACATAAAATTATCAGCTCCTGCTGACTGTCAGGATAGGGCAGGAGACAATGTTTTCTTCTCAGAAGTAACAACTAGTTTATATACTTACCTGAAACAACACCTAACACATTTCTGTTCTACAGCCCAGAATCTGAAGCAGAAGAGGCACACACCCTTTGCTTTTTGTGACAGTTTCAAGAGTTTACATTTCTATATTTTTTTTAGGCAAAGTTATCACATTCTGTTTACACATTCATTAAAATGAGAATTAATTTTCATTTTAGTGTACTGTTATGTTTAGCCAAATCTTGGGTAGGTAGTTGTTGAACATTTAAAGCATTGTACAGTATATACATATACAAATGATGAATCGGTGTTCATTGCACATACTTACAGATTTTTCTTTGTCAAGAAACTTACATTTAAGTTCACCTAAGCCCTTCTTCTTTAACCTTTTGTTGGTTGCTTTTAAAGTACTAATGTGTTGAGGGTGAAGTAAAAACTATCATCTCTGTATTTGTGATTTTTACACCTTTCCCTTTTGTGTTGTTTAGTTCTTCCTGCAAACATGCATCTCAGGATTATGTTTGTGTTGCATGTACAGTGTCTTGTAGAGTATGGGAAAAAGGCCCCTGAGGTATGAGCTAATTTTGGTTTCATAACATCAATGTTCATCCATAAGCAGGGTAAGTCAGAAGCATCTAGCTTTTAAAACTTCGACACAGTCATATATACCAGTAAATCCTAACCGGCAAAACTACACACTTATGGTTTCAGATTCTCAAAGTTCCTTATAATGAAAGTTCCTTGTAACTGAAAATGTAATGATGTCTAACTATTTTACAGAAACCAAAGCACAACATACACTTAAATCCAAAAATATCCTAAAGATTATAAAGAAACTTGACCTTAACTAGATACAGTCAAACAGCAAATGTTCATGTTAGGAGATAAAATTGTGGTTGTGATTCTTTTGAATAAGAATATCTACCTGAAGTGAATCTCCTAATAGTTTAGTGATTATATCTAATTTAGGTACAGTCTAAGTATACTCGTTAAATTAGGTGGTTTCATAAATCTTCAGGCTCTAAGTATACTCATCTCGAGAAACTGTGAATCTGTTCCGAGGTTTGTAATTATTTCCCCCTCCCGTGGCCTATTCTCATACGCCTTAAACCAATGAAACCAAGAAGAAGAATTTCATGGAAGATCTTAAACAATATTTTTCTTCACCTTACAATGTCTTTACAACTTTTTTTCAGGTGTATACTTACCCACTGATCACTTCATCTTTACTCATCCCCAACCCACATTATATTTTCTATTTTCAGTATTTCTATCTACCTCAAGTTCTTGTACTTGGGTAATACTCTTCTACAAGGTATTCCCCCCTGTAAATTGTCTTTTTTACATTTTTGTAGTGTTTGTTTCTGTTTTTACATTTATTTTTACGTGTCTCCTACCCTTATGTTGGGTGAATCTAGGGTATAGCAACTTCAACGAACAGGGGAGATTAGTGCAACATAAATAAAGAAAACCACTGGAAAGGATAATAATATGTAGGGTATATCCACTCATACTGTACTTGCTCCTAGTCTCAACTTGTACATGAACTATACAAAGTGAATCATTGCCACTTAGTTTTACAATAGTGTTTAATGATTTCTTAAATAAACGAAATAATTTTTAGCAGTACAGTACAGTATTTATATGAATTCTGCCCTTCAGTATGGGCAGTTTGAATTGTGAAAAGGAATATAGACTTTAATGTACAGTATATTGTACAATCACACAGATTTTGATATACTAATTTCACTTTTGATTTAACTGTATCGGATGTTGTTACCGTTTTTTTTTTTTTACCATATTTTGCAGTCTCGGTGAAAATATGCCTTAATTATAATAAAGTAAAGTTGGATAATTGGCACATTTATTATCTCAATTAGTTTTTATCTGGTACTATTATTGTACAGGTAGTTGCATATCTTAAATGTTTGAGTGATTTTTTTTTCAGTCATCCTTGTGTGTGTTCTTTACTGCACATTTCACTACATGTATAACAACACTTTTTTTTATACTGTACAGTACTGTATTTTGATATTCTACATCTGACTTATATGTTGAATCATCTACCGTATTTCAAGATCTCTCAGCATAGTCCCTGTATAATTAATTTAAATGTTCCTACTATTTAATAACACTTAACTCTCTGCTGGTTAAAAAAAATAGAAGAAGAAAAAACTATATACACTTGCTCCAAAAAGTATCTTTACGATTTTGTGTGACGATCTGACACGGCAGACAAAGGATTTAGATAACCTTACCGAGACAACAAGAGTTGCAGTGTTCATTTTGAAATTTGTCAGACCCTTCCATAAAGATAATTTTTGGAGTGAGTGTAAACACATCACAGACACACACTACCACATACCACTGATACTACCACCGGTAACATTGATCATCTCCGCCTCCCCTAAATCTACCTCTCACGAGACTTACAGTTTCTTAGGTATATTGTATCTGTTCTTGCATGGCATATGATCCTAGGTTAAGACTTTTTTTTTTTTTTTAGTAGGCAACTAGTTAGTAGTATTTGAAATTGTAGTACTTGTACCTGTATACTGTACCTTTTTACATATACTGTATAATAAAATTGTCAAATCTGATAGTTTATACTAACAATAGAAATGAAGATTTGAAGCTAACATACAATGAAGCCAATTCAATGAAACATTATGACCTTTCAACTAAAAGAAGAAGGAAGAGCTCACTCCCAGATTGGTTATGAGCAGGTTGTTCAGTTTAGAGCATTCCATAGTGAACATTTTTTTTAAGCTTTCTTTGCTTATGTTATCAAACTCAATTCTATCAGTTTTCATAATAGTGCATTATCCCAATATTGTACTTTAGGTTTTGCTATAGTACATCTAAACTACAGATTCTTTGAATACTTAGTTCATCATGAAACTAATTCTTTTTGTAAGGGCATAAATGCTGACTTGCTCAATCATTAGCAGTGCCTCCACTTATCAACAAGACACAGTATATAGTTGTGACTTGTCTTTTTTTCTATAGTATTTCCAGTTTTGCGGTACTACTTTTAATTTGATGCAATATAAGTAAAATTTTTCATTTACCAGTAATACTAGATGGGAGTATACAGTATTGTTCATTAATCTCCCCATTATACTTTCTAAAAGGATAGGTTACAAAGGTATTGGGATAGAATAGCTACTGTTACTTATTGAAGGCCCATTACGTATTTCAGGATGGTCCAGCCGCACTGTATGGCAAGAAAGTTTGAACTCGGCCCAGGTACGTAGGCTGCGTGAACTCCAAGATGATCTGGTGTCTTGCATGAACACGCCCCTCCAGGCTTCCCCACATTCAGCCCCAGAATTCTCACTTGATACTTCTTCTGCATCAATCATGGATCAGTATCAAGCAGAAGCAGATTCGGATAATCCTAACTACCAAAGTGCTTCCTTCATTCCAGTTTTGACTAATGGAGATGATGATGGTGTTTTGAATGATGAATCTTTTGTAGAATCTCTTATAATGCCTTTAGAAGATGCTGGAGTTGTTCTTAACCCAAGTAGAAGAAATGTTGATAGGTCATTTGTGCATGGAAAGCCAAATGGTCCAAAACTCACCGATCCTACATTTACCATACCTGATCTCATGCATGATAAGCCAAATTTGGTAGCTGATCAACACATGGAACCTGTAAGAGAAATCCAGGAAATACTAAATACCATTCCAGATCCTTATGTATCAACTAACATGGAAACTTTGGCAGCAAATGATGCAGAATATTCCTCATCTCCACTTCCTGTATCATCAGAAAATGTGGAAGTTTTCTTAGAAGTGGAAGAAACAGAACCATCATTTGAAAGCCTAACCTCCAGAGACACTAATTTGTTGTGTGAGCGTTCCTCTGCTGTTGAATTGCCACACCTTGACCAGTCCCTCCCAAGTGGTTGTGCTTCATCCCAGTCATCTGAGGACTTGTCTGGAGAAGTGGAAGAGGACTTGGCTACCGTGTTACCTTCTTCTATAGTAGATGAGTTGCAGGTGTGACTAACAGCCTTTTTGTTTGTATGACTTGTTTTATTTGGTGACTAACTGAGGTATTGTTGCAGTACAAGGTTTTAGTTATAAGTACAGTATTTTTAGACGTGAAAATCAGTACATTACCATATTTTTTATCAAGATGCTATGACTTATATGGGTGCAGTTGCCAAGAGAAAAAAAGCTCTTGCCCAGGTAAGTGTGGTAACTCGCAGCGGGTAAAGCCATACCCGGACCTCCAGCAACAGGTGGTCTTTATATGTATAGGAGACATTAATTATATGTGTATAGGACAGGTGAGTGTTGTAAGTCGTAAGTAATAAAGGGATGGAGTAAACTATAATAGAAATGAACATATTTATAGCAGTTTAGTTTGAGAAAGCTGTTTGAATTCGTATTTGTGTGGATCTTCCTGCTGTATTCTCACCAAAAATTCCCTTTTATTTGCCATTTACTCAGGTAAGTTTGATGGTGGTGAATGTCTCCAGTGAGAAAACTGTGCCAGTGATTCTCTATTAATTTTATGTACTCTCCTTTTAGGTTCTTGAGGCCCTGAACATTGAGAACGAAAATTTAGAATCTGAAGTTATTCAGCTTCAACAGGAAAACATCGCACCTATTAAGAGTAAGTTTTGGAAGTTATAGCAATGATATATGCCTTTATTAATTGGTAAGTGCACAAAGTTGCCATAATACCTTATGAACCCCCTTCATTATACAACATTACTGTAATCTTAACTTGTGTGTTGATCAGCTGATCCTTCACACTTGACCATACAGTTGCTTCCTTGTTGGTAATTTTTCAGGATAACTAAGTTGTCTTTCCTCTCTTGCTCTTAACTGAGCTGTAAGAAATTTGTATTGAATGAAAGATTATGCACTGAATACTTTACTACCTGTTAGAAGTGTTTTCATCCCACAGTTTAGATTAAAAAGCTTACATGTGATTTTTTTTTCTAAGTTTAAATTGAAACATAAGTATTTTAATTTTTCTTGTTTATATATATATATATATATATATATATATATATATATATATATATATATATATATATATATATATATATATATATATATATATATATATATATATATATATAAATAAATAAGATACTTACCTTGGTGATACATGTACAGTAAATGTATTGCGTAAATTTTTTTGATTTTATGAGAATCCACATGTGGATTAATAGATGCAAATTTTTAAACAGAGTCACCTGGCATCAGGTGGTGTGTGGCTTAGGGCAAGTCAACCCTTGCAGGCCCCCATAAAGATTTATTTATAATCTGAGCAAAACTTGCCTTCTTAAAAACATTGTTACAACAAAGACGACCTAACTCTGACTATAGGTTTAAGACTGATCCAATAATGAGGTCAGTTGTCACAGTCAGGTCATTACCAGGTGTTGGGAAATGTTTTATGCAGCCTGCAAGGCCCGTCTAAGTGCAGGATTTAAGACAGTTGCCCCAATTCACTGTACTGTATACTTTATGGCCTGTCTGCTTGACATTTTACCCAAATTGCCATTTTAGCTTTTACTTCACTTTTTTCTTCCATGAAAATTCCCTCTATCTCAGTTTACTATAGTATTTATACAGTAATTCTTCTGTTGTTTTGTATTTTTACTTCTCATTTGATGTTTCTTCATCTCTTAACAGTACGTGGCAAGGACGGCAAGTATGCTCGAGATTTACGAGAAAGAATCAATCGACTTGTAGTGGACAATGAAGAATTGCGCTTGGCTATAGGTAAGCTTCAGTATGCTAACCTGCCTGATGGTGACCCTGATGCTTTCACTTCTGCTGTTGAAAAGAACTTCAACCTTCGACTTGCCGTTGGTAAACTCACGTAAGTTTTGCCAGTACAGTACTATATTTTCTTTACTTAATTTTTTATTTTTGACCATTGCTCATGTTCTTGGGATAATAATTTATGAAAATATTAGGACTGACTTCAGGTTTAGGTTTCTGCCTTTGTTTGATCAAATGCATTGAGGTTGGGTTGTTGGAGTTTGTATAATAAATGATACAGGTCTCGGTTCATTTTGTATTGCAATCACCACCATAATCAACATTTTACAGTAAATTTTTTACTCTTATGTGGGTTAGCTGCAATAACCTGATGGCAGCTCTCAATGCTCTCTTGTAAGGCTCTTAATTCTTAAAATAATTTCTTTTAACCTCTCCCCATATCACTCTTGGCCTACCCCAAGCTCTTCTCCCCTCCATATTTAAACTTGTGGATCTCTTAACCCAATTGGTATCCTCCATACTCTCCACATGACCAAACCATCTCGGCCTGCCTCTACTCAAGACTTTGCCAATATTTTCAATACCCAGCCACTCTCTTAACTCTGAAAGGGGTTCGTCTCTTTCAGTGTCACATTGCATATCCACCTTACCTTTCACATTTCACCTTGCTCAGACTTGTGTATGTATTCTCTTTACTGCCCACTTTTCACTGCCATACAACATCACATCTCTCACACCAGTTGCATACATCTTACCTTTCACGCAGAAGGAAGGTCCCCTTGCCATCAATAAAGGTAGTACAGTAACTCCCTAAGCTTTATTCAGTCACTATATAAGAAGAAAAGATTAGAATAAATTTTTTATTAGATAATTGCCTGGTAGTTTATTTAAGTAAAGTTAGGTATGAATAGCTTAGGTTTCATTTTTTTGGAGAGAACATTGTATATCATGACTGCCTACAAGTTTGTTGTTTGAGAATTTGTAAAAAAAGAAAAAAATATAATGCAGTACTGTCCTTAGCTGCTTCATGAAAAATTTGTTACCCAACTTAAACTTAATTTCCCTGTAGTTTTAGAGTAAAAATAAAAACAATTAATAAAAATATTACCTTGTGTGTATGTATAAACATACTTTTTCTTTTGATTCCAGCCAACTTGCATCATAGTGCGAAAAGGCCTTAAAGGTGTATAAACAAAATTAAAGGTTTAAAATATTGGTAGAAAAGTTTTGCTAATCTAAATTAATGACTTGAATTATACTGTATTGTACAGCCTCTGCAAATGAGGCTGTTCACTTCTTTCAACTAGAGTGTTTTTACAGTCATCTCGGTCCTGACCTAAATGCATTGCGAGTTTCGGCTAACGATCTTCAATCAGAGAATGAAGAGTTAAAGATTCAAGTTGGTAAACTTCGTTATCAGCAGGTAAAAGTTTTTTAGATTTTGTGTTGTTATTTATACAGTATAAAAGCATCTGTTCATTCTTATAATATAGGAAGTGGAGAATCATGATCTGTCTCCAACTGCAGTATTGTTGGAGATAATTAATGACCACAAGGGTTTGTAACACAAGGATTTGTGACCATAAGGCTTCATTGTAGAGTTACTGATGCAAATTAAACACACAGCACTTTAGCCCTTGAATAGTACCTTGTACAGTATTCATGAAACAAAACCTAAAACAATATGGCTCTGTGGAACAAGTGGGGGATTGGGTTTCCCCTAGTAAATGTAGTTGTTGCTGGATATACATTTTTACATGTTCCTTATAAAAATTTGTACAGTTAGTTTTTCACCAATTCCACCTAAAATGGGTTGCCCTTGTAAGTCATGTAACAAGTTAAGAAAATTTATTCTTAACTATTTACTGATTATCTTGATAATACAGTTTTTAAATTTGTATTTATTTTTTTTGCTTTACTTTAAATGGATATAAGTAAACTACTCCAGGGTAGTTAGAAAGTATTACACTCTCACTGCCTCACTTATAACATTGTCATATCCATAACCAATACTAGTTGTCATGAATTAAAACCTGTTGCTTCCCTTAACTTTTCTGTATATGTTGTAATCGCAGTGGAAACATTATTGTAAGATGACATTTGTTGATAAATTCATCTCTCCTCTGTAGCAACCACTGCCTCAAGAGCTGAACGCTTTAGCCCGAGACTTAGAGAAGTTGAAGAAAACAGTGGAGGAAGCTTCATTTAAGAGAAATGTGCCACCAAACCTTAACAATGCAAAATCTTATATCTCATATATGTCTCAGGTGAGGAGTCTTTGACTAGCGTGCAGGGACAGGTACTTTTTTTTTTTTTCATTAGCCCTTTGGCTGTGGGAGGTTACCCTAAGCTGAATAAAATGGCAAGTGCGGGAAATACAGCGAAAGGGTTATTTTATAAAATTCAGTTTTAAAGTTTTTTATGGTAATATATACTCAGTCAGTTCACTTACTCTTTTCAGTCTATTCATGTTATGATTAATTTAATAAAAGACTCAATTTGTCACTTTATAGTATGCAGATCATTAATGAATGCCCAGAGAGATAGTATCAGCTAGAATGCCACTTTTTAGATTCTGCTTTCTCTCGGGATTCTTTGTCTGGTCTAGTAGCAGGTTACACTGTCTTAATAGATTAATAAAAGTTGCTTCAGTGAAGCTCCTCACCTGTCTAACCAGAATTGAATCCGTATTTCAAATGCCTAGTCCTATGGTTGTATCAAGAGCTATTTAGGCTTCAGGTTCACTGGGACAAACACTGTTGGGAAGGTTCACCTGCTCCTAATAATAATCTAGGCAGTCAGAATGAAGGAACTTCATGCTTAAACCCCAACATTGAACCTGATGTCTGGATCTTCATAGGCAGCTCCCTCTAGTGGATCGTCTCAAATGAATGTGCTGATTTTCACACTTTATTATATTATTATGTTTCATTATATTAGCATTTGCCCCACAGTATTTCTTTCATATTGTCTACAGTATTTTGAATTAAGGTGCTTGACACTAAGTCAGAGGTGAAGGATAAAGTAAGAGAGTTCTGCTTTGTTGTCTGTTACCTAATGTGGGCTTGAAAAGCAGTGAATAACTCCACCCAGTATTTTTTTTTACAGGGATCAGCCCACCCGGGCACAGGTCACTGGCCCACATTGGGGCCTGGGGGCTAAAATATAATAATGATAATAATAATAATAATAATAATAATAATAATAATGCATAGGTCTAGGTCGTGTTTCTCACTTTTGATCTTTTATTCATTCTTTTATTTCTTTATTATTATTATTATTTTATTATTACAGTATTATTGTTATTATTATTATTGTTATCATTCTTATTTTATTTTTGGTTATTTTTTATTAAAAATTTTATTTACTATGAATAATTATTATTATTACTGTATTATCATTATTATTATTATTATAATTATTATTACTATTACATTTTCACCCCCCAGGCCCCGATGTGGGTCAGTGACCTGTGCTCGGGTGGGTTGTTACCCCCAAAAAAAATTGCTCCACACAAAAACTTTCGGTTTTGAGAGCTTTTCGGTTTTGGGAATTTCGGATAAAGGGTTGTCAACCTGTAGTGCTTCCGTGTCAACAAAGACTAAGTCAGTTGATGTGACAATATTTACATTTCAAACTAAGTTAGAAAATAGATGGGTAGCCAGTTATATATCTTCCTTTTTTTATGCCCACTACCCTCAACAGTGGGCATTTAGTATTTGCCTTTTCCATTTGTTCATCTTTACAAGTGAGGTTAATCACAAACATTTCCCAGGTTTATACAAGTTTTTCCCCAACAATCTACAGCAGGACTTGAATAAAACTAAAAGACTTCTTTCACTCACCTTCATCCCACCTAACTGCAGGTTAGTTGCCTTTCCTCCTGAAACACAAACCCCGAGATTCAGGCTCATGAATCCGAATAAGGCATCAGTGTCTACTGCTTCGGGTTTACAAGTCTTTATCTCAGTGTTCATGAAACGGCAGGAGAGGCAACAGGACTTTTGTGGGTGACTATACATCCTCATAAACTGCTTGCTGCCTTGCTCTCCTGTATTTCATATTTTCTGCACTCATATCAAACCCAAAAAGATATGAATATCTTGGACAAAATATTTCAATTGAGTTTGGTGGGAAGAGACTGTGAAAGGAAATACTTTGCCAAATGGATTGGTGTTGTGTATTGATGCGTGAATGTATACAGTAGACCCTAGCCATTCGTGAGGGAGAGGTTCCAAGAAATGGCGCGAATTGGCAAAACCGCGAATAGCAACTTATACTAGTTTAGTGCACAACTATATACCTATACTAAACAACTGACCAGCCCCAGCAGTACTTCATCCCCTCTTTTAACTTATCTAATAGTAAAAGTTTCTTTGTCAGGGTCATCACTGACTTCTGCCTTTTACATTTCACTCCACCAGCACTGACACTAGGCAGTCTTTTAGGGTCCATTTCATACAGAAACACTAAAGTTTTGAGAGTGCAACATGAGATGCTGCGTGGGGCGACTCGTTGTGCTACGGGAAAAGGCTTGCAAGTTAGCCACCATCTGCTTACCGCAAATCGTCGAAATCGCGAATTGGAAACTTGCGAATGGCAAGGGTCTACTGTACTGTACTGCACTGCACTGCATTGTATATGATATCCATAATAGTTGTAGGAAATTACATAAATTACCTCACTTCACTACAGTATATGAAATAGTGTACTGTATTATGGATACTACATAGGCAAATTTTGAATATGTAAATGAAATCTTAAATGTATTATGATTTATTTTTGTTAGTTTTTAGGCAAATTACTTCTATTACAAATTGCTTCCAGGTTTTGTCCGCTATTCAAACCTTGCATGAGTTTGACGAAGGAAGTTTTGCAGAAAAGATAGATGTTGCCACAGATGTCTTTGAGGATCTGATACCTGGAAATGTCAAACTCTCTTCCCCAGTGAGTAACATATTATTAGGAATTTTGGAAGTTCCTCAGTGAACCATCTCAAACGGTTGCAGCATTTTTTTTATTCAAATTGTACAAACTATTACAATATTTCATACAGTATAATAGAATAAGTGCAGTTATAATGAAGATTAATAATTGTGGGACCCTCATTATACATACTCGTAGCTATCCTAGTTATTGTTATTGAAACAGTTTATTTGTACAGTAATGTCATATATGAAGCTGCTGAGTGGTTTAGAACACACCAAAGCATCAGGCATTGTGTTGCATTGTTTGAAAGATGTTGCCCTCTGATGGCTATTTTTGGAACCATTTATCTTTTCATCTCAACAATTCCTCTGGTGATTTGCTTCAGATCTGCAATATAGATAGATACTTTGACATCATGTGCTAATTTGTAGTGTTTAGGGTGATGTTGCTCTGTGGCAGAGTAATGGGGCCTCCTAGTAACTATTTTGTAAACTAATTTTAACACTTACACGGCCATTATATCTGGGATCACATAAGTTTATCTTTAAATGGGAAATTCATTTTTACAAGCAAATTGATTAACACCTCAGCCACTAATAAGCTTTAAATTTAGATACTGTAGATGTACATTGGTTTTATGCATTTTGACAGCAATGTTAATGTTTACTAAAATTTTGTATATGGTCTATGGCAAAATGGTTTATCCTTTTTATAATCTATAGACAGTTTATTACTGTTTTATGGGTTCTTATGATCCTTTGGCTCAATGGTCATCTTAGACCTTCATCCCAGGCATTTAAAGATATTTTAATGAGTTCTTGTGTCATTTATATAAACCTTAGGGATGGGTAATGCTACCTCAGTTGCATGTTACAGGTCAAAAAATATCTTCAGTTAAAACAATATTTTAATTTTATGAAGGATAAAAGATAATTTGTGTTCTCTTCCATTATAGGTGCAACAGAAGCTTAATGTTGTGCGGTCAAAGTTCTCTCAGATTCGTGCCTCCTTATCAAGAAAGTGGGAGAAGGTGAGATTGTTTTATACTCACCATTATGGTAAAGAAAATTTTCTGGTGATATTTTAGGACTGATTTATGTACATCTCATGTCTGTTTGATGTGGGCCAGTTAGTGGACAAAACAAAGAACACCCTTTACTGGCTTCTGATACATCCTTATCAAGTATCCTGTTAATCAACTCAAATTCATATTGATTAACAGCTAAAACATTAATGGACATAATTTTTGCACAGACAGAGATTAATGTTCCTGTTGTTGACAAATTCAGGTTATTGCTCATTGTTATATCAATTACAGCTTATTATTACTGATATTTTCCCACCAGCATTTGTGATTATATTAAAGAGGGTTTCACTGGATTTACTCATAATTCATCTCTATCAGGAAATGCTATAATGTAGTGATGATATTATTTGTAATTGTATTTCAACAGCTCAAGGAACTTAGCCATCCAAGAAAAATAGTTGCTGTAGGTCGTGACACCCTCACCAAGATGAACCGAGTGATTGTTAATGTTGTGAACAAGATGAAGGAGATTGGTCAAGTAAACATTATGAAACGTGGCAAAGTTTCAGTGGAGAAAACCATTAGCACGTTGGCAGAACACCTTACAGCTCTTGGCTCTCAGTTTGATAAGACCTGGAAAGACTTAGAGGTAAAAAAATACCATCTTTTCTCCTTCCTTGCTTGTATAATCCACAGCTTTTACCTACTGGGGTCTTTAGGTATTCTTACCACATTATGCTTCTCCTGTAGATATTATTTAAACCATTTTTTTTTATAACTTTTCCACTACATTTTCTTAAAATGTTTTCATTTTTTCCAATTAATACTGCACTACATATTTATCCCTAAAGTTTTAAATATTTCTAAAAGAGGGTCCTGAATTAGCTTGACTGAATACTAAGTATCATCAGGGGTTATGTGCAAATTTGAATAGGTTTTGTACTGCTTAGTGCAAAGATATTGGATGTAGTATATCTCAAGTAGGAAATTTTGTTGGGGTTATGTAATATATAAACATCTCTGTACACTACTGTAGGCTGAAGTGGTTGAAGAAACTGAAGATGATCCTGAACTTATGGATGAGGAGGATGTTGGTGAGGATGAGGAAGACCCAGAAGAACCAGAAGTGTTAGTAGCTGTACCAGAGGAAATTGAGGTAACTGCTGATGAGGAGGAAGAAAAACTGATGGAGGAGGAAGATGAGGAACAAGTCGAAGATGAAGAAGAAGTTGAGGAAGAAACAGTAGCAGAAGTTGAGGAAGAAACAGTAGCAGAAGAAGTTGAGGAAGAAACAGTAGCAGAAGAAGAAGAACCCAAAGAGGAGGAAGATGATGATGATGATGAAGAAGTAGTCACTGAAAAAGTTAGGGGGGAAATATTAGAAGGGAAAGAAGAACCAGAGAAAGCTGTTCAAGAGGAAGATGCTGCATCATCTGGGCCCTCTAGTGCTGCAACTATGTCTCAGAAGGGAGGAAATGGAGGACGAAGAGGTGGAGATAAGAAGAAATTACCAGATGACAAGAAGGAAAAGAAAATTAAAAAGAAGAAAGAGAAGGAGGAAGAAAAGAAGCACGAAGGCAAGCGGCACAGATCGAGAAGGAACAGACTCAGTGAAAAGGAGGAGAAGAAAGAGAAAAAGAATGCACAGAAAAAGGAGAATGAAGAAAAAGAATCAAAAGAAAAACAGAATAAAAATAATCAAGAAAATTCCAAGTCAAGAGATAAGAAAAATGGAAATAAAGATAATGAGGATAAATCTCGTGGTCACTACCAGAGAAATGGAAAAGATAGAAATATACAGGAGAGGGAAGAAAACAAACGATATTACAAAGGACAGTATAACAAGTATGATAAAAAGCACCATACTAATGATGATGATGACGACGACGATGACGACGATGACGACGATGATGATGATGATGACGACGACGATGATGATCACAGATATAAGAGAAAGCACTACAAGAAGAAAAAATATGATGATGATGATGATGATGACGACGACGATGACGACAGTTATAAGAAGAAACACTTTGTGAAATATGATGATGATGACGACGACAACCGTAAAAGAAAAGGACTGATGCGTCACTGGCAGAAGCCACCTAAGAAGAATTACCCCAGAGAATACACTGGGCCTAAGAAAGCATTTATCCGGCGACGTGGTAAGAATCACACACAACATTACAACGGGGATTGGGTGATTAAGAGAGCAACAGGTCGTGAGCATAAGCGTAAAGAGAGTAATAAGGCTGATTGGTTGTTTGAACGAGCAAAGGACAGGAACAACATACGAAACAGGGAACACAAGGCAGACTGGCAGTTTGACCGAGCACAAGGAAGGAAGGATTTGAGGCATGATGATTATAAAAAAGACAGGCTGCAGGATCATGACACGTATGGCCACACTAAGTACGAGAAACATGAGACTCGTAGGCGTTATGTAAGATTTGATGAGGATGATGATGATAATGATGATGATGATGATTATTATTACCATAAACAGCAGGAGAGAAGAAGAGGTGGACATGGGCATCATAAGTACAATAAAAGGAAGGACCAACGAGAGTGGGTCATTCCTAACTTTAGCGCAACAGGAAAAACCTATTACCGTTAACCAGTATCATCAGACTCATTGTATCTCTATGCTTTTAGATGTATATTACCTTATCATAAGTATATTCAGGGGGTAGCTCAAGTTATTGCCTCTGGGAGGGAAGCCGTTAGGTTATTAGAGTAATGCACTCAATCCAGTGATATAAGTTTCACAAAGTAATAGGTTACACTTGGTCAGATTTCAGTTAAATTCTTTCACTTACTAAAGAAGGTTATTGTCTAAAAGATATTTATTTTATAATGTGTAACCTTAATGTGTACTTTACACATATGATATTACTTTATGCCTTCATCATTTTTTGCCAGAAGCAAGAAACTACTATAATTATTCCACACCCCAGTAGTATAAGCAAGGCACATGCTGATCATGATATTCACTCAGAATTAACCAATGGTTTACTATAAGTTTATAAAAATCACAAATTATTTTTTCCTTGCAAGTAAATTTCTTATTGATTACATTACTGGAGGATTCTTTTCCACTTTGTAGATTATATTTTAGTTACTAGTGATGTGGAGTGTGTGGTGACTGATTTGTAGACTCTGGGGTATGCATGATTTTTATCAGTGATGATATTCCGAAGTAATAAGTATTTCACAAAGGATATAAAATATCAAGAAAAAATAAAGCCTTTTTATTTGGTGAGTAATATTCACGAGTTTTATACCCTGTAATGTACTCCCATTGGAAAGCTAATTCTGTACAGTGTTTTCATTAATACAAGTCATACAGTAACATTACCCAGTTGACAGATCTTAAATATTCTTGGTACTATATGATTAATAAGTAATTCATGCTAATTACCTTGTTGATGAGGTTGTACATGTATGATAACATGGAATATCCTTATGCATTCTTTATTGCTAACCTGTGTACTATACTGTACTAAGAATGGCTCATGAATGATAAATGTGCTTGTCTGATTTGTAGTGAATTCATTGATATGAATGATCATAGTTGTACTTCTGCAGTAGTTATCAATAGAGAATGTAGTGTAAATGAGCTAATACAAGCATGAGAAGCAAGAAATATATAGAGATGGTTGAAATGCATGAAAGCCCAATTTTGTGTTGCACCCATTCAATTTCAGAAGAGATACCAGGGCGTATCTAATTTTTGGGCCATCAGACAAGTATCATATGCATAGACATCAAAGTTAGAACTTAAACATAACTGCAGTATGCCAGCGCTCAGATGCCAGTGTACTGTACCATAATTAATAGTTTCACTGTTCACTTTCTTTGAGTTACATATGAAGTGTCTGAGTACATTTCCAGATCATGTTATACCAGATTCCTTTTAATTTAGAAATGCAAAGTATCTAATATTTTAGATCGTTGAAAACAGTTGTTCCTTAAACTAAATACTCTTAATTATATGAGAATTGGAAGCTTGCAATGAATTTGTTATGCTATCAGCATTTTCATTTTTTAATGCTACGCAAGACATGAATACTCTAACCCTGCCAGTGCAATGTTGCCAGACAAGAATTGCTCTTAAATGCACATTATTCCATAATATATTAAAGTGAATTTCATATGGTCAGTGAAATTACTGCATATACAGTATCGCACTTAGGCCACTGGAGATGGAATGGTTGTGAATATCCATAATATATACTAAGTACAGTACAAGGAAACTGGTTATAATGCTTTAGTGTTCATCGAGATATACAGTATTTCAGAATTGCCATCACGTTGAAAATTCTTAAAAAGTTTCTTTCATCCTTTCTCAGCCTTTTCACAGTACAGTATATACATGTATATTATATGCTGTACAAATGATACCTAAAAGCCAAAAATTGTTTTTGTAGATGTACCTATATATGGGGAACCTATTCTTTAGTCACCTGCACTTAAGCACTGCAATTTTAATTTTATAATACATTATAGGTATCCCTCTATTTACGATCATCCATTTTACAATAATCTACATTAAAATTCATTAAGTTTTAACACCCTCTTGCCATTTATGTTAGGCTAAACTCGCTGATGCGGAATATAAACACCGGGGAAGAGCATCTTTCCATTCACTGTCAAATCCAAGATGGCTGATATGCACAGAAACTGCTTTTCCATCCTCCGCACACTTCACCTACCTGTGCACTGCCTCAAAGCCACTATGTGAAGTACAGTCCCACGCTCTGTTTAAATGTGATCGCATCTGCCCTCACTCATGTAACAAACGTTATCTTTATTAATCGCTGTATAACCTTGTGATCGCTGTGAAACTTTACCATTATTGGTGAGAGTAAAATTTTATTCAGATTTTTCTGCTTTGGTGATCGTGAAGTGATCAGTGTACAGTAACTGCTAATAAGCATCCTGCTGACTCCCACCTCTGGGAAAGGCAAGGATTCGAGGAAGACCGTGTCTCGGAGACGATGTGGCAGGCTTGTAATTATTAATGTAGTGGGTATTGTTAAATTGTTTGGAATTTAATTAGTGTAGGATCGTTTTTTCTGTGTTACATGTCTGTTGGACAGGCCAGAAACGTATCCCATTGGAACCCATGTTAAAAGGCTTGTGATTTATGTTAATTCAGTTTGCGTTTGGGTTTTCAGAACCGCTACCCTATCATAATTAACTTGTTACTGCTGAAATTATTTGGCTGTGGAATCATTATCAATGTTATAACTCTTGAACCATGTTATCATTGCATGTTTCATGTTCCAAATACTGTATATCTCTGCATCTGTAGTAAAGGATCTTGAACAAGCTCCTAGTGAGCTGATTTGTAAGCCATGTCTTGCAAGATAGAGTCATCCCCCTGGTTCATTTTTTGGATATTTATCATGTGGTTCACTATATATGACCAACAGTACATATTAAGGTTTACAAGGTGGTCCTTAGCAGGATAAGATTGTATAACCCTCCTGTAGTGTGTTATGTTTTCTCCAGGGGGACTTAGAAGAAACAAATCATGGACTTTTTTTGGTTGATAAACACAATGTAAATTGGTGTACAGTAACTATAAAATTAAGAACCAGTTTAATGAATCTTCCTCAGCCAAACATATAACTGAAGGGGTTGATTAAATCACTGTTACTGCCTTCCCCATGAGTCAGACTTTAGGGTTTATAATTAGAAGTGTTTGCCTTGTTGTGAAGTTGCAAATATTTTCTCACATGATTGATTGATCAGTTGAAGAACATAAGGGGAATTCATAATGCAGGAGTTAGACTGTGAGTGATTGAATGTTTTATAATACATATTTTTTTTATATGACGAATGAATGGTACAGTAGATATTTGTTACACGTAGAGGATTTATTTTGAATATTTTACTTCATGTGAATGACAAGCAGAATGTTGTTGAGTCAGATTTAGAAGATTCATGAGTAAAATTGCATATGGATATATGGATGATTGTTGAGAACGTTTTACTTCATTAAGGTTACTGGTAGTGAATTTTGATTGTAACTGAAAGTTCAACTAACTGTTTGGAATCCTAAAGCCCTGTCTCATATATTAAGTAATTTGTCCCTTTCTAAACATAATTATTTTCATTCCAGATGACTAAGTTCCCGATGTCCTTTCATAAATAATAATCCATAGTGAAAGGGAAATTTTCCTGGAAAAGGTGCGTTACCTAGAACTGACCATGGGTGATAGCTCTGTAATTTGAGTGCAGTTTGGTACTGGGAACTTTCCAGAGAGTTTATTAACCAATTGGATTGTTAGTATCTAGGAACTTTCTAGAAGTAGATTAGAAAAAGGACAACTAGATGCTAGGTTTTGGCTGGGCTGAGCTGAGCTTGCTAACTTCAATTGACATGGTGAATTTTCATTAAACTTTAATATAGTGGTAGATTTTCATTGAAATGATAATAAAGTATGGGGTTATATTCAGGAAAGGATTCTCAATTCTAAGGTTAATAATGTACCTGCATGTGAATATGTACTCCTTTAATTAAACTGAGGTACTAGTGTGTACTTAAGGCCGTTATGATAAACTGTATGCCTGATTGAGATTTATTTTCAGGAATATAACTTTCAGCTCAGATCAGCATGTGCTGTGATGGAACTATACACCATTTGGGACAGTATTCCTGTTTATCCCCAAACCATTATGCACAGAGTATGGTAGTTTTGATGACGTCCTTGCCTTCCATTAATACCAACTCCTACTGACATTTGTATTTTTTCTATTCCTGTTAACTACATTGTAGCTTCTGGATGAAGTTTAACCTGCATGGTGTTGAGATTATTCTCTGGTTGTTTTTTCTGTAGTGAACATCACTCGAGTGTTTTCCACAGTTTGTCTCTACATTAGCAGACACTACAGTATCCAGCTCCAGTGGTCCTGGTCAACATTAATGAAATCACATCTGTTAGACATTTTGAGATTTGTGAAAAATTTTTAGTTTGAAATATGTTTAAATATTGAAATTAATGATGCAGCTGCTGGCGCCTTTTTAAGGAAGAAATGATAGGAAGTACAGTATTGTATTTTTTCTTTCATTACATATGGTAATTAGAAGAGAAGAAATGCTATAAATTAAACGTGTATATACACACAAAACTATGGATAATCTAAAGTTACAAATGCATGTTATTTACAGTTGTGTGATTGATAGGTTAATATAGAAAAGTTGTCATAGAACAGAAATCTTTTCACTTATACAGTAATTGTGTCTCTCAAATTAACTGATTCCATTAGAGTATGTAATACGTCTTATGATATCCACCTTGTTTATGAAGTACTACTAGACAATTTAAGTACTCGGTGGCATGTAATTTTTTTCTGCTAGTCATTCACTTGTCATTTGTACAGCTTTTAAGATATCATTGGAATATACTATTGCCAATAAACAGTACCCATATATGAGACTCTTATTCCAAAATAGTGTACATGCTAGTTTTCTCTCTCTCTCTCATCTGTTTATTTGTTTGTGCAAAAGTCTGTATTTATGTAGCCAGTTTATGTTATAACTTTATAAGTGGAAGAGAGTTGACTTTAAAGATTCTTATTAAGAAATGCTCATAAAATTTTATGATAGTTCAACCACCATAATGTTAATTTTTTGCAAAATCCATTTGTAGAATTACTCGCCACTTAATTATTCAACACAAACAGGTGGCAAAGGTTAGAAATATTAATGTAAACTCGATTTTCATTTTTCATATGCACCACTCTTCAGCTCACTAACTGTTCAGGTGGTTGGTCTGTTCTTTGTTACAGCCTTCATTGCCCTGTGTTAGTGCAGGAGGAAACTGGAGTCCCCAGAGTAAACCTGCAATATTTGGTAGGGTCACACAAAAATAACACCCTTCCCACATCCAAACTTGGGATTCATCTAGTGACGCAGTGGTGAGAGGCAGGCGTGCTATTGCTGTGGTAATTTTCCGTAGAGGATGCAGTGATTTACTTGCTATATACATATGGTGGGTGGTATAATTTATTGTATTTTTGTATAAAAACTATAAGATAAAGTAGGCTACTTTTTCTGCACACACACACACTGACAAATTTAAGCATAATATATGATCAATAAATTATCATTTTAGCTGAAATGGACCATTGTAAAAAAAAAAAAATTAGTTTCTCAAGAAATGCGGTCATAAGAGAGACTAGTATTTTATTTACTTGTAATATAAAATTCTACCTCCCCTGCCTGTTTCTTCGGCAAGTTTTGAAAATAAAACCTTAATGTGGTTCAACTAAATTTTACCGAAAAGGGAAGTATACTGTAAAATCCATGTACAGTATTCTATGGACTAAAGATGACGTGAATCCTATAAAGATACTTTTTTTAAATGTTTGGAGCCTGTGGTGGAAATTTAAAAAATTTGGGAACCTATACAGTACTGATAGTTTTCAAAGGTACTGTACTGTACTTTGTAATGGTAGTTTTCAAAGGTGGGACCTTATGAAAGATTTGATAATTAATATACAGGGAATTTTTTTTTACTTTTTGTGAAGACTCTTGGCCCCAAATTTTATATTCATAATGTTTATTGTATTTAATTTACTCAGCGGTATAATGGATGAGAAGTACCGATCTCTTTATATATAGACCTTCATCTTGTTTTAGGATATCACTTTTGCTACAGCTAACAGACTTGTGGCCTTACAGATATACATGTATTGTATTTTCAGGACTGTGCGGTAGTCAAACATGATGTCTGATCTTGAAAATTAGCACATTATTGGGCTCCAAACACCTGCTCAGACAAGCTCTTCCATACACCTACACCAAACAGCTCTAAGTTATATTGTCTAAAGTGTGTTGGGGCATATTGAACACCTTAAAATTGAACCCTGGTATTGCATTGCCTTTATGAGGCCTCAATGATCGGCACATCTCTCCATTGGGATAACTCTTCTCAGGACTTCCCCCAAATTTTTCCAAGCTCGTTTGTTGGTCAATATAAATGACTCTGGGTCATGTGATAGGGCAAGTCCTGAGAGGGAACTAGTATAGGTGGCTAGAATGTTTTAATTACAGGTATTTCCATCTGATTTATAGACTACGGTAGTTACAACATTAAACTTTTCTGACACTAGTAAAACTTCAAGGTCATTGACTATTAACACAGATTAGCTTCTCTGGGTTATTGCTGGAAGCTTCCTACTTATGGTCAAGATCAGTGGAAGGTCAAGGTCATGCAGGCAACTTTAGGCTATTGCTTTCATACTTTCACATTAGATTCTGACCTTCACCCAAAAACTTAAGCTGGAGACATTATGACTTGGGGATTTTATTTTGTTTGGTAAAGTTTGACTGAAGGTTAAAGTCACCAGGTCAATGGTCATTCAGCCAGGAGTAAGCTATATCCTTTAAACTTATAACAGCATCTGCTCACACCTGAAAACTTCTGTAAGCAAATAATACAGATTTTTGCAAAGGGTGATATTAGAGACGGCCTGTCATTTATTTAGTTATGATTATTTGGCAAAAATCAACCAATAAATTAATAGCATCTGACGACTATTGAGTATCATCATATTCGGTGTACAGTACAGTACTGTATACAGTACTGTAATTTTTCACTCTACACCAGCAGCCCGGACTGATGCACCAGGAAATCTAGCCCTAGCTTCAGGGTCCCAGTCTCTAAAAGCTATTTTAATAGTGTCTTTGACTCTTTAGTTATAATGTATAAGTGCTCATTTTCTCTTTTCGGTTGTGTTTTTATTATGAATATAGACTACTGTATATCAAATTACCATAAAGCATAGATAAACATTCAACAGCTAGAGCCTAGAGAATGTCTTTTACAATTGTAAACAGAACTCGACCCCGAACAATGGAACATCAAGTCAGGCAATGTGTAACCTGGTCAGACAGTTGTCTAGTAAACACCAGGAGCTGCCCACTGATACACCGCTCAGTAACATTATCGCCAGTACACCTGACAATGACCTCTTGCACCCTGTCTGGGACAGAGGGGTTTTGCTAACTTTTGGCTTGTTTTCATTGTTTGACAAGATCAATAACTGCGGAAGCAGTTTTATTGTCCAAATTTTCCACTTACATTTTAGGTTCGATTTTTTAAGTTTTTATATGCAATAATACATGAGAGTAAATATCTAGTTACCTTACAAACTTGGGCTTAATTCTCATAAATCGAGCTGTACAGTAACAAATATACAGTGAGCCAGTTTTGTTTTCACTTGTCCTGGTTGTTTAGCTTAAACGAAGAAACTATGGAATATCTGGATCCAGGGTCGTTTAGCTATACAGTATATTCTCAAATATGGCGGCACAGTTATTTAAATAGGCTTTTCAAGTGTGTACATATGTCTAGGTACCAGTGGCTCGGAGCATGCATGAGTATATGTCCCCCCCCCCCTCCCCCCCTTGGCCCGTAACGTGGTAACATCACAAGTAAAAATAATTATCGTGATATAGTGATGGTAATTATCTAGTCATGAGTGGTAGAATACACTAGAAAAATAAAATAGAATTATCAAGTCCTCGTCAACAGTAATCAGCAAAAAAAAGGGGGTTAAGAGACATGTGGATATGTGCCCTACATAGTCTGGTAAAATCCACTAAAAAATACTAGTATTGGAAAAGACAACATCGTTAAATATTTTTAATGAGAATTATATACACAGAGAAAATACATTGATCATGATGTTATTGTACATGTTTGTGAGGGTAGGCTGTCGCAGTTATCACACATGGTGTTAAAGATAAGCGGATGATAATGAGTATTATTGATTATGATGATAACGTGTAACAAAAAATCGTGAGACTGGTAGATGCACTTCAGAGTTAGTTCAAGTGACTGTGATAGTAAAGTTGTCCATCTCAATGTATAGGGGAGGAATATTGTACCAGGAAAATTCCATAGAATCATCACGCAGATGTTCTTAACTTATAATAAGGATATATTCTCGACCTTAATTTTTTTTACTCAAAACTGAGTAATTGTTCTGAAGTAAACGTATTTAGTTAACAATGGTTTAGTTATGTTAATTATGGTAAGGGTCACAGTGTTAATTACAGTCACGATAATTGACAATACCTATACTAAATGAAATCCGGTAGTGACAAGTAACAAAAGGAAATTATTTTGTGGGAGAGATGTTGGCAATGAAAAGGACAATAGTATACTGTTTACTCAACCCTTAAACTAATATTTGTTTTAGAATTTAACGTTTTTTCTTATCTCTCTGTATGTCTTTCTGTTACCAAACTTACCATTATTTATGGTTGTATACTGTTGCTGAGATTAAGAGAACGTTCCAAAACAATTTCGTCAGCATTTGGGTGGACTCCATCTTTACATCTTATCATAACTTTGCCAGTTAGAAAGTGCTCCTAGATCTCCAGTCATGGGAGATTAATTAATAGAGGAGTAATGTTGTAGATGTAGGCTTTATTTATACTCTAAATATGGAAATAAACCAAATTACGAGTCCCACGGAGTTGACTATTGTTGATGCTAACGTTATAATGTTATTACTGCACTTCAATGTATATATAAGTCATATATAAGAGTATTATATAGTTTCAATAAACTTTATGGTTCAGTTATTGTCATATATTAAGTAAAACATGATTTCCCAGTTGCAGTTCGTGAGCAGACATGTTTACTTATGCCTCGAACTTTATTTAAAGTTTTGATTGTATATTGTATTTACTAATATCATCTTACTGGGCATAGTTTGTAAAATGTAGTGATTGTCTTGTCATTAAACTTGACTGTAATTCGATTAACGGGTGTTTAGTTCACTAGTTTGTAAGTGTTTCAGCAATAGACAGATTAAACATACTGTACTTAAGTTATCTCAAATAATAGTTCCTTTTTGTATAAATAAATAGGGTAAATCCTGTTCAGGGAAAGGTGAAATAGGTATTGAAATTATGCGGACTTTTGTTCATTTCCATTTTCTTTGAATCCAACTGTTGCTCCAGTATGTTTTATATCGGTAATTTTAATATAGATATATTTCTACGTGATATTGTATAGAATATAATGTCTATATGAATAGCAAAATTGATTTTATAATAATTAGTGCATTGTAACGTTTAAAAAATATATTTATACTCTAAACTCATTTTCACTCTAAAACTCTCTGTAAAAGATGTCAACGAATATCTCTGAAATCAAATATCTGGCCATATATAGCACTGATTGAATACATAATTCTCTTCAGAAATGATGGTATATTCATAAATCCTTTTTAATTGAGTATGAAACGTAAATATATCTGGATTTGTCGTAAAATGCATACATGTGTTGGTGCAGCAGCGAGAATATTATTGGAACATGTTTCAGGCAATGGTTGGCAGACGTTTCTTAGGCAGTGTAGCAATGGCGGGGCTAGGGTGTGGGAGTTTTGGGCTCAGTAACAATGTGACGCAAA